GAATGTTTTCCCAAGTCATTTGTATTTTGTGTTCACTAATGTTATTATTAATAAAAATTGATTTTATTTAAAAAAAAAAAAAGAATGTTTCCCTTTATTTCATAAAGCATAGTGGTAAAAAACTGCTTTAAAGATTTTGTCTGAGAGTCCCAACATTCAGAGCATCTGTTGATTTTACTTTCTCTTGAGAATTGGTTATATTTTTATGTTTCTTTGTATGTCAAGAAATACTTTATTCTTGACATTGAGAATATTGTGTTATACAAAATCCGAGTCCTGTTATAATTTCCTAAAGCAGGTGTCAAAGACATATATTTGCACAGGGCCAGTCGGTAAATATTTTAGATTTTATGGGCCATGCAGTATCTGTAACTTCTCAACTCTGCTGTTGTAGAGCAAACACATCCATAAACAATCCATAAGTGAATGAGTGTAGCTGTGTTCCACAGAATTTTATTTACACTAAGGATAGTGGGCCAAATTGCACTGCATGCTATAGTTTGCTAACCTTGCTCTAAGGAATTCTGTTTTTGTTGTAGTTGTTTTCTTTCAGCAAGCAGTTGATTCAGTTAAGGTCACCTGTTTTACTCTGTGGGCAACGGTTCACATCTCAGTTCAGTTCTCCAGGCGTTTGCTATGCTGGATGTGACTTGTGTGCATTCACGTGCAGAATTTGGGTATTACTTTCTTCAACTCTCTTTGCTCTAGAATTCTCCTATGGTCTCTACAACTTTTCTTCCCTCCCTCCCCTCCCCTCCCTCTCCCTTTTCTTCCCTTTCTTTTCTTTTCCAGTTTCCTGTGACCAGAAAGACACAGTTTCTATTGAAGTTTTACTCAACTACATTGGCATCACTGCTTCCATAATTAGAGAAAAAATAAAACAAAACTGTGAGAAAAAAATAAAACAAAACAAAAAACTTACTCCTTTACTGTTGCTGAGTTTTGACTTCACTCCAAAAATCTACCTGTATTTTCTTTTCTTTTTACACTATGAGTCTCCGAGTACCTGTTTTTTTGTGTTTTCTCCAGAGTTTTTGGTTGTAATCAGTGACAGAGATGGACAGTAGTGGGCTTCAACTGCAGTAGAAGAACCAGACTCGGTTAGTTCACTTGTCATGCATAGATCTACTCCACTCAAATCATAAACATCTTGGAGGCAGAGATAATCTCAGATTCTTCATTGCATTTCTCTAACCTCTGAAAAGAAAGTCTTAAATATGAGGACTTCTGAAGTTTTGGTTAATTGACAAATTAACTCCTCAAGGGTGTTAGGAGTTAATCTTGAAAGTCATATACTTCAGTCAACTTATTTTGCAAGTGAGGTCCAGATAGGTAAAATGACCCACCCAGATTCATACAGCTCATGACAATGGCAGAGCTGGGGCTAGAAGAAGGGCTCTCAGTCTGCCAGGTTTCCATGCACCATGCTGTCTGCTTTTGCAATTCTCATGATCTCATCAGATGACAAATGGAACAGAAGATGAGCTTTCCTATGAAGGACAAATGAATGGAAAAGAAAACTGACTAAAAGATTAAAAATTATTGAGCCTAGAAAATGAAATAATGAGGCATGATAGGACTTTAGGTCTCTTTAGTGCTAGAAAAGCATCCTGGTTTCTCACTGTACCCTGTTCCAACCATAACCCTTTTTTTCTTTTTTCAGGCATATGTGAAACTTATAAAAATTAATCAGTTAAAAAATATAAATAAGTGCAGGGTAAAATTTCAGGAAGAAGGAGTGAAACAGGTCCTAGGTAGAAGGAACTGAAAGAGAATACCAGGTCAGGGGATGAGGAAATAAAGCAGACCATACATGTGAAAAAAGTTAAAATAAATATACTAAATAGTGGGTGGTGTGAGTGCATCTCTATGTATGAGGAGAGCGTGAATTTCAGGGAGAGGAATAGCAATGCAGTATCAGGTTTTCTGCTTCTTTACCTCAAGCCTGCTGAGCTTGCAGGTGGCTTCATTCTTGTCAAATAGGAAAATGATATGGAAATGACTGTCATAACATCATAATATCTAAATATCTCAGTTCTGAAAATCTGCAATACCTAGCCAATCAGGATGTTCCTACAACTAGGGCCATCCCTACAGTTGGGACACCTAGAAACATCTGGTAAAAATATTAATGTCACACAAAACATGTTACCATGGTCTAGTACACTAAACTACTGTGTGCGTTCACATCTGTGCTTTCAGGCTATTTTATGTGCATTTGTGTGGGATTGGGGTCGGAATGCAATTAGGAGATGTTCTGAAATTTACCTATAGAAATTTGAAATTTGGGACAAACAAAAAAAGCATTGCCTTTCACAACGGGCAACATAATTATAAAACTAATTTTGCTGTAAATAATGATATTTACATATAACACATTTAAAACTATATATTCACACTCCGTTTTTGGTACTTTTGCATACGTTATCTCTATGAAGTAAGTGCTTTTTAAAAAATCCTCATATTAAAGATAAGAAAACAGAGACATAGAGAAGTTAAATAATTTGTTCAGGGTCATTCAACTTATTAATAATCAAACCAAGACATTTTTAGCCACTATCTTTTACCGCAGTGGTTCTCAATCTTGGCTGTATATTAGGCTCACTTTGGGAGCTATTAAATAAATTAATGTCCAAGCCACAATTAAATCAGAATCTATTGGTGTGTGACCCAAGAATATATGCATATATGTATGTATCCACAGGTGCATATATGTATGTTTAGTTTTTATAGCTCTCCAGGTGACTTCAATTTGCTGCCAAGATTGGGAAATACAATTTTGCTGTCTCCTATCGTATACGATACATACTGGAAAGATATGTTACTCTTTTTAGAGAAAGGCAATGCTGCTTACAGGGTAACCATAGTCAATTTCTTGGAGTTGGAATTAGGAAAGGAAACTAATTACACCTTCCTGCACTGTGTACAAAAAAAATAACTTGGTAGATAAAGGGAAAGGAGGTAGAGAGATCCATGGATAAAGGATAAGATATAAGTCTAGCCTACACTGTTCTGGACTTTAGAAATAGCCCCACTGTTTGCATTATTAGCTATTTCACCATTTTGGACACTATTTCTTAGCCTGAGAAATGAAGGAGTTATGCAGATATTACACCTCAGTATTTCTTAGTGCCATTTCTTAGTTTCCAAGAGTAGATGATCCTAAGTATGACACAGCCTAACATAAATTTCATTCTTATTCTGATAGAGTGCAAACTCCAAGAGAGCATGAGTGTCTGTTGTCATTACTGCTTCTCATCTTATGCCTGGAACAGAGTTCAATTCTCAGTGCATGCATGACCGCACCTGATCGCCTTTGAAGTAGCAGCCATGCCGCACTCATCTGCACCCCTCCCAGCTCCTTACACGGTGTCCGATTCACAGTGAGTGTTCTTTACTTTCTGAATTCTCAATGTGACCAAGTCAAATGTAGATTTTAGTGTTGTTTGTTTTATCAATTCTCATGTCATCTGGTTCACTGGCTGTTGCTATTTGCATGTATAAATGGGAACTGACTTGTATGAAACACATTTTAACAATTCAACCTGACTATAGGAGTTTATACATCATAAAATGTATATAATCATTGTTCTTTACTTTTCATTATTATTTATCTAAAATCACTAGCAGAGGTTGTCAACCTGGTCGCACTCCAGCCAAATAAAATAAAATTGTCAATGGGTAAAAATAGGTCATGGATATGTTTTAAATTAAAGCTCTTCAGGCTCTAATAATGATCAGTCCAGATTAAGAACAACTGCAGATATGTTACGGATATCATGTTGCTTTCATATTCTTTTCCTTCTCTTTGACTAGGGCTTGGGCTATCTAATCCTTATATTTACACTGAATTGATTCTCCAGCAAGTTCAAGGGACAGCTTCATTAGCAAATAACAAAGGGCACCCTTGATGTATGTTTGTAGCTTCAAATCAGTCATTCTCAGATCCAGCTGTTTGTTCTAAACGTTTGCTCAGACTCATTTAGCTGGTTAAGATCCATGATCAAATGGTGGCAACACTGGGCCTGGGCAGCATGGAGTGGAAAAATTAAGGCAGGAGGTTCAAGGCAGCACCTCTTCAACAGAATGACAGTCTCCAGGAATCTGTAAATGTTTTGTTTTGCCCTAGTTGGAGGACAGAGAATAAAAGCCCATTAGATGGTAGTAATAGGCAGAATGTTGAGAATGGGTGAAATGAGCACTTCACTTTGCACTCCCCTTGGTTCCAGAAATATGGAGCTGGGATGAGCAAGTGAGTCAAATGATATGAACAGATTTCTAGAATATCTCATGTGACATAGGGAAAGGTCTGAAAAAGAGCAAAATATTTTTACAAGCTGTTACTTTGACTCCTCCTCCCCTTTAGGGAATTAAAACCTGCATCCTTGCCGAGGCCTGTAACCAGAGGGGCAGATGAGTGTTCTTTGTTCTTTCTTCTAAACCACAGGAGATGGCTCAGTGGAACTGTTTGGGCAAAGGGCATGAGGTCATCTTCACTGGAGATAAGACCAACCAGGACCACCAGCCATAGTTAAACAGCAATAGCCTGAAGCTGAAACCCCCTTTTAAAGTTCTGTATTTCTGTTTAAAGGGAGGATTGATGGTACTTTAAGATGAAAGTCTGCCATCCTCCTCATTTGCTGGCAAAGTAATACACTTCTCTTTCCTTTTTCTCAAACTGCTTGTCCTCCTTCATTTGGCTGCAGGGACAAGTGCCAAACTTGTCAGTAACATTCAGGGAAACTTTCCAGCTGACAACAGCGTGAGCACTTATTCATATGTCAGGGGCACCAAATGAGCCATTCTGGAATGTGAACTGACTACTCGTGCATTTCCTAACCACCCACCATGCACAATCTCAGTTCCAGCAGTGGGTGTGAGGTACACCTCAGTGCCTTGATCTGAGGGGCCGAAGCAGCTAGAAGTGATTTCTTCTTTGATTACTTCAGGTTAGCAAGTGTGAAAATCCAATTCTCTTAATGCTTTACGGAAAATCTTACCATCTCTTCTTCAGAACCGACTCCCTATCTCATCTGCAAGGTTGAAGAGGCAGAAGAGCTGGCTGGCAGATGCTTTCCCAGTGTGAAGCTGTACGGGGAAAGGGTACAGGCAGATTATTCCTCTTGGGGGCAATGCCCAGCATCCCATTTCTCCTGAATGTCACCCCTTGGAACTTTAAATACCAGATAGTGGGGATCCATTTGTTTTAAGAGCGTCTTGCTTCCTTCCGTCTGCTCCTCCTTCCCAGACATGCACACAGAACACTCTGCTTGAAAGTCTTTCTGAAAGTCTCTGTGAAGGGCAAGGCCTTTGACCTGCTACTCATGAATTCCCCGAAGTTGACAAAGAACCCCATCCCCTTTTTATTTTAATAAAGCCAGGAAGTCTCACACCCCCCCAGGCCCTTCCTCGGTTCTCCCTCCCCTCCTCCTCCTTCATTCAAACCAGCTTCTGCGCCAGACGTACAGAGCTCTTTCTCGGCCTCTTGGGAAAACCCCAGAGAAGGAAAGGTTTCCCCTTCAGTCCTTTGATTATGAGTTACACCGCGTCCCCTAGCAGGAGCCTTATCTAACGGTAGAACTGGATACATTACGGAGACGTATGTGTCCAGACGAGAACTCCAAGTTAGAGATGCTCCCTGAGGCCTCTGATATCCCAACCTTAATGCCTCTTACTTTTAAGGGGAGCGTTCTCAGGTTCAGGGTATTGCTGTCAACTACAGTTGATGGCTCCCATCCTTTCATCTCCAGAATCTGTTGGGACCCCACAGTCTGGAGCCAGGCCAGAGCCTCCAGGACGTCCCGGACCTCTGCCGCCTGGGCCTCCACCAGGGTGGCTTTGCCGAGCTGTCTCCTGCAGTGCACAGGACAAAACGCCCCCCTGCCCCGCCCGACTGCTGGCTGGGGCGGGGGCGGTGGCTTTAGTTCTGAAAAGGGTGAGAGGCAGAAAACACTTTAAACGGTGGAGAGATTTTAAAGAGACAGAAGATTTTTTTTTTCTTTTTCAAACCATCCTCTCTGTTACAGGAACAATATACAAGCCAAAGAAAAAATAAAAATCACCCATGGCTCCATGGCACATAGCTAAAATATTGGTATAGTTCCTTCTAGCATTTGATTATTCTAAATCTCTCTTTTTATGTATTACTATAGCTTAATCAAAATACTTTATTTCCCAGTCCTTTTTAGTCAGGTGTCAGGTCTTGGACCGAAGGTTGAAAATAGGTTCGAGTCTTCTGCAGCTCCAGCCCTGACATAGGCCTCGCAGGAGGTCGGTGGGATGGGCGACCCCCTGAAGGGAGCTGCTCTTCCCTTTTCCCCACGCCTGTGAGCCTTGCATGGGAGGGCGTGCACTCTCGTCTCTTGAGCACTTTTAAAGGTAGAAAGTGTGTAAGGGCACAGCCTTGAGACCCCAGGGCAGGCAGTTCGGAGCATTTCATGCCCACCAGATTAAAACTAAAGCGTAGAGAGTCACTCTCCGCTGCAGGCTGTGACTGCTCTCGCTCACCCAGATGCGCCGGAAACGCCGCGTGCTGACACTCAAGAATGTTTGAGAGGTTCGGCAGGTGTGGAGAGAGCGCTCACGATCCCTTTTAGATGGGGACTCAGTCTCTCCTTATGAGCTGGCAGTCATTCTTCTTTTTGACTCTTTTTGGTCCAATAGCATGATCTTTTCGCTTTTATTTTTCTGCTCTCCACCCTGGCGGTGTGCGGTCTCGGCAGGGAGGAGGGGCGGGGCGGGGTGTGTGCGAGTCTCCGGGGCGCAGGGCGCTGGTGCGGGCCACAGCGGGGCGGGGTGTGCGCGAGTCTCCAGGGCGCGGGGCGGCTGGTGCGGGCCACGGCGGGGCGGGGTGTGTGCGAGTCTCCGGGGCGCGGGGCGGCTGGTGCGGGCCACGGCGGGGCGGGGTGTGCCCCTCCCAGAGCGCGGGCCGCTGGCGGGCGTGAGGATGGCTCTAATGTCGCGCCAGCTCTGGAATTCCTCAGTTCCCACCTCTGGTCAAAACCTGCCCGCTTTGACTGGTGTCTGGTGTCTTCCCACGTGCTTCCAAGCCCCATCCTCCACACCCCAGGGCCAGTTTATGGGCACACGGCCAGGGCGGTCACACAGGGCCCTCCTCAGAAGGGGTGGCCTTGAGCACTCAGGCTTAAGGCTCTTCAGTCACCATCTTAAAAGTCCTAATAACTTTTGCTTCGAATCTGTGCTTTGACCCCGGACAACGGCGCGAATCTGGGGCTCGGAACTTCTGCTCAGCTCGCTCTGCCCTCGCGGGCCCGGGTGCGGGTCCTGCAGGGGCAGGCTTGGGCACACAGCCTGTAGCCTTTTGTGGGGCCAGATGGTGGCCATCCTGCCCGGGGGTAACAGTGCCACGTGCATGTGGCACCTTGGCAGGGAGGCGGTCACCGTGAACCCGACGGGCGACAGTCCCCTGAGGGCCGCTCTGCTGGCTGCGCGGGCGCACCTGCTGCGCCTCCTCCCTCCCGCGGCCGCGCCCAGCAGGTGCGGGGTCGGGGTCGGGGTCGGGGTCGTGGGCGCGTCCGCCCGCCCTGCTGTGACTCGCCTTCCAGAACGGATAGATTCTTACTGTGGGAATTTGAGAGACTGTCTGTTGAGAAACTTTAGAAGATTTTCGTTTTTCTCATGGAAAGCAAGGCCACTCTTTCCTCTTCGCTTGGGCTCTGTGGTGTGCAGACCGGGCCGGACCCGATGCGGCGACGCGGAGGACCGAGCCGGCCGGGCCCGCACAGGGTCGCGGGCTTACGCCTCCACCCGCCCACTGGCGCGTTGACCTGCAGCGACACTCACCCTAACTGGCAGCGCTCTTTCCTTCTACTTTCATTTTCAGAGAGCACCAGTTTTTCTGCTGTAAGCCAAGTCCTCAGGTGGGTTTACAGAAAGCTCTGAAAGACACACAGTGTGTTTGTTTGTTTTCATTTTTTAATTTTGAATGGTTGGCAGTCTCACCATAGAAGCCTCAGAAACATACCTGGTCAAGATGAAAATACATGTTCCTAAAGCAAATATGTCAGTCAATTTTCTTGTACTTCCTCTTTTCTTGTTTGCTTATGCCAAGGGAAATGTAACCCAAACGTTGGCTGTCTCTGAGGACGCCTCTACCAGCTATCACTAAAGAGAGCTCTGAGAAGGGTCACAGCGACTGGCAGGGCTGTGTGTGGAAGTCCTCTCTTGCTGGAAGCTGTGTGGGGAAGGGGCTCGTTGAGAGTGAGCAGGGCATGTTTCACTCGAGGCGAGCCATAGTTCTCCGTTTTCTTTTGTTTTTAGAGAATGAGGTCTGGCTATGTTGCTCATGCTGAAGTAGCAGTGGCATCATCATAGCTCACTGCAGCCTCGAACTGCTGGGCTCAAGCGATCCTCCTGCCTCAGCCTCCCAAATAGCTGGGACTACAGGCACTTCAGTAGAAGTGAAAATTTTATTTTTCTGTTTTTAAGGGAAAATTTCCCATGTCTTTCTCTCCTAAGGAAGTGATGTGACTTAAATAGATTTAATACTTTATTAACTTTGAAACTCTAGTGCCCGAGAGCTCAGTACGTAGAAAGAGCACAGTAAGGATTTGTTGGCTAAATGGATACACCAATGGATAAAAAAACGAATGAAACACCAAATGAATAAACACATATCACAGCTACTCTTCATAACTTATGATTTAGCATTTTATTTCATAGTGACATTTTCTTCTGTCACTTTCTATAGCTAAGATGTGGTTCTCCAGTAAATTGTGAGTTATTTGAGAGATGGGAAATTTTATACTTTTTCTTTATCACTCAGTAAAATTACCAACTTCTTAGCATATATTAAATATTTGGGACATGCTGTGTTTCTTATTGACAAGCTGTAAGAGAGTTGATGATTCTGTATTTGTTATGTTGCTAAGTGTAGGATGCAGCATGTTAACATGCCCATCTCTTTATCAGATATTTACTGAGTGTCTGTTTTGCGCTAGTTACTGTGCTAGATTCTGCAGATTAAGTGATGAGCTAAACAAACGAGGTCCTTATTTTGAAGAAAATTAGAATCTAGTGCAGGCTAAGAAAGAATAGATAGAAAAAAAACAAATAAATGAATGAAGAGGATAATTTCAAATCATTTGGGTTTCGATTCTGGACTGATACAATGGCAAAGCCAAGAAGATGATGGCGACCAGAGGGTGGCAGGGCAGAGGGGGCGTCGCTTTGGAAGTGAGCAAGTAAAGGCGCCGCCGAAGGACAGGGAGTGCGAGAGGGAGTGCCTAGGGATGTGAAGTCCCCCGCGGTGACAAGAATGAAGATGGGGGCATAGATAGTGAGCAAGGGCACAGAGCCTCCGTGGATGACAGGAGTGACAGAGGGCAGATGGCAGACAGTGCGGGGCAGGAGTGGAGTGGCCTGGCGGCAGGAACTCCAGAGGAGATAGAGTGTTGGAAGAAAAGCTGTGAAAGAATCATCCAGAAGTAGAAAGGAGGAACAAGACCAGCACCTCCCCTAACCATCCAGTCCAGCAGTCTGTGTCAGCGGAGGGGCGGGCAGTAGCATTCCTAAGTAAAAACCTTAGGTAGGACGAGAGGTGAAGCGAACCTTGAAGGAGAGATGGAGGATATGGAGGCGCTTGCCTGAACTCCATGAGGCACGTTGGGGTCGGCGTGGAGATGCATGTGCTGCTGGCAGTGATGGCGCAGAGGCATCGTTTCCGAATGGCTGGGACAACGGGACGTGGCCAAGGGGGCTTAATTCTGAGGATAGCTCCTGGGGGGCTGGCTGCCAGTTTAAGTTGGAAGATTGAGGAGACTGGGAAATGACTCAAATTTTACATTCATTGCTATGATTCTACATCTAGTCTGAATTTATCTCTGCTTTGTTGAGGGGCAGAGCGGGATAGTAAAGCGACTGCCAATGCAGGACGATTCAGAAATCTGGGTTGCAGGTCCCGCTGGGCCAGCGAGCGGCATGCGCTCAGTCGCGTCACTAGTCAACCCTCACCCAGAGAACGAGCAGCTTGGACACCCTGAGCCTGGGCTTCATCTCTGAAAGGAATCGAGACAGAAAATTGATGGATGTGGGTTCTGAAGCTGATGTGGGCTCTCCTTAAACTCATTTATTTATTTGACTTTTCTGAAAAGCACATCTTTCCTTATGAGCTCGTGTTCAGCAGTTAAACAAAGCCGGGTTTTCATCTCCTGTCTTCAGATACAGGTTACGTGACCTAACTGTATTTTCTCTGAACCCTAATTTTCTCATTTGGAAAGTAAGATAGTAACAACATACATAAATAGTTATTGTGAAAATTAAATGGCACAGGGCCTGGCAAATACTGAACATTCAACACATTTTAGCTATTTATTAGTAAATGTGAGAGAAGTTTTTGATTCATTCATTTAAGTATTGAAAGTATATATCACTTTCCTTATATTTTAAGATACTAAAACTTCAGTATGATGCAGATAGAGTGTGTGGCCTCTGGTGCTTGTGATATTTTCAGGTGAGAACAGAATGGCATATAAACCAGGATGGAAAACTCTTCAGCAATATGTAAACCTAATGACTAAAATTAAGTCATGTTTTTTTTTTTTTTTATCTGTTTGGTTTTTCCTTTGTCAAGTAAATCATATTAATTAGAAATATGAAAATCATCAGTTGTCCTCCAAGCTGGTTGTTTTCCTATATGTCAGAAATAAACTTCAACATGTCGCTGTCTTAAATTACCATGGCTCAAAATACAGTCCATCTTTA